AAAAACCATTACGCCTATGGAGAGTCCCCACTTTTCACAAAAACAAACTTGTGTGTGTGTGTATATATATATATATATATAATAAAATAACACATAATCCCTTAAAATGTAATTACCTTTTAATAATAAAATAACACAAAATAAAAATTAACCATATATATATATAATTTTTAAGGTGATAATATTTAAGGGGATTTTATTTTTCATTACATTTTTTTTATTTTCCTATTTTCCTAATTTTTATTTTGTTATTAAAATATAATTACTTTTTAGGGGATAATTCTCTATTTGTGTGTGTTTTTGTCAAAATACATAAATTTGATTTTTGAAAGGTAATAATATTAAGTGGATTTTATTGTATATCTTTGTATATTAATTGTTTTGTGTGTGTGTGTTTTATTTTATTATTGAAATGTAATAAAAATACAGTCCTCTTAAATTCGATTAAATTTTATTTTAAAAAGGTAATTATATTTAAGTGGATTTTATTTTTTTATTTATTTTTTATATTTTCCTCATTTTTAATTTAATTTTTATTTTTTATTATTGTAATTACATTTTGTAGGAATACATTTTTTATTTTTTTTTTTTTTTTTTGTCGAAGTGTAATAAATACAATCCCCTTCAATTAAAGTGGATTAATAAGTGGATTTTTTTTGTGGTATCATTAATTTTAATTGACATTTCCTGAATATTTTACAACAAATAAAATACCAAGGAAGTGTAAAATAAAAAAATTCCCCTAAAACAAAAATTAGCTTTCAATAAAGTTAAACCTTGTATTTTCTGAAGGAGTATACTCCGCAGTATGAAGAGTTTGAAGTGCTGCTAACAGTGAGGTTGTGAGAAATGATCAGACAGTGTTTGGTTAATGATTGACTGCTGTGCTGACACTCAACTTCAGTCCTGTATTTTCAGAACGCAGCTTCATTCTCAGCCAACAGCTGGTCAGAAGACAATCAACTAACCTCCCTCGACTCTAACATGAGTTCTGATGAAGTTAACAGCATTGGTGATTAGTTAAGTCTAGTTAAAGCACTGTGCCAGTCCAAATCTCTGCTTGGGAATGGGACAGTTTAGAGCAGCTTGACCAATGCAGTGACTAATTGATGTGCCAAGTGCTGTATGTGTATTTATTTTGAATCATTATTTAGGTTTAATTGCATTAGTGTTATTTGACTGAGATTTGTTTTCAGATCTTGATGAAAATGTCTGACTACTGCTCACTTGTTTGTTGATTGGGTTTTAACTGCCTTTATTAACAAAAGTGACCTTTTTGACCGGAGTAGTTGATGTTTGAGAGCCGTGTGTTACTCAGTGGTTCGGCTTCATGTAAAGCTCAGAAACATCTGCAAATCTAACATGCCAAAATCATCCCGTGAGTGTGAAACCACTGAATGTCAACCTGCATGAATGAGAAGATGAAATCATATTGTGGTTTTGATTCTAGTCAGTCAACCGTTCGTTGAAACTGGACCGTTTTATTACAGAAACGTAATCCTGAGTGATTTCTGGTCATGGTTTATTGTCTTTAGACTTTGTGTCCATTATGAACATCTAGTTCTGAACATTGATAATATTGAAGACAAACATGCAAATGCATCTGAAGTCAACTGTGAACTGCTTTGATGGATTCAATGCGCTTTATGTGGTGTGAATTAACTTTTTTAGCAATAAAAACATGCCTTGTATCTTGTCGTTATTATTGTCTGCCCACGATAAAATTTACAGAAGATTGCTGCGACATGTTTCAGTAACTAAAACCTTCAGTAAGGTTTTTTTATTTGTTAACAGTGTTATTAAAATGGTTATTCTAACACAAAATTGTAAGATGCAATATTTAATTGGATAATTGCAACTTTTTTTAAATTAATAAACACTGTCAAAAGCATTTATTACATAAGTTTTATATATAATATAATGTAGTTCATCCAAATCTCAACATTTACTATTTTTTTTAATAATATGTAACTAGTCAATGCACTGTGAACATGAACATTTGTAGTTTTATTAGTATATATATATATATATATATATATAGTGCCGTGAAAAGGTTTTTGCCCCCTTCGGTTTTTTTTTTTTATACATATATATACAGACACACACACATTTTAATTTTGAAGGATCATGTGACACTGGAGATGAAATCCATCTTTGCATCAGTTATATATATATTAGTATATTATTATAATGTATATCATATATTACTGGTCTTCAGTGTCACGTGATCCTTCAAATATAGCACTTTCACTGTTTTTCATGAAAGGGGTCATATGACGCTGCTAAAAATAAATGAAAACGTACTTACGTGAGTCAGAACTGCTGGCATTTTAGTCTAACGTTACTCTCCCTGGATCAGTAAACAGTCCTCCATAAAATGTGCTGCACACATCTGAATATTTGGGTTGAAGTGTTCTGGAACAGTGTTGTAAATACAACTTAACCACCGATTTCTAGTCGTGTCCACTTTTGGAAGACCAACAAAGTAGTTTCACTTTCACAACAAAACACACAGCACCTTCATGACATGGCAGCGGCAGCAACAATACTACAGCGAGAATAAAAGTTACGCCTTCTTTCTTTGCGTGAACATTTGGGCGGCGTTATGCAAATCTTCCCACATCGTGAGGTAGATATGTGGGGGCGTGTTAGAACGAGCCGTTTTAGGTAGGTGTGGTTGACTCTTAACTTTTATAAAGAATATCTCTTTGGATTTGAGACTTTAGTCTTTGCAACTTTACAGATCTTCTTTATGCACCAAGAGCTTGTAACACTCCAAAGAGAAAGGAAAAATTGTAATCGCATCATATGACCCCTTTAACCCATGTAAAAAAAAAAATGTAAATCAAAACAAAGTAACTTCATCCATCAAACTAACAGCTCTTTAATTCAACCATAATACAAGACACAAGAAACTTTTCACCTTGAAGCAATAATTTTGATTTGTGCCTTTCTATAAAGCACTACAAACATAATACATAAACCAATAAAACATATTTAAAAAAAAAATTATCAGAAAAAAAACTTTTTTTTGTAAGAAAGCAGTTATCAAAAAAAAAAGCTTTAAACAAAATGTGTACAAAATGCAGAAGCTATATGCAAGATCAATGAATGAATTTGAAGACGTAGAAAAACATGCAATGAGTAAATGTTTTCTTGAGTGTGACAGATGTTTGTCCAGATCTCATGTGTTCAAACAGCAGAGGTGTTTTTCATGCTGTGCCGTGTCTTCAGCTTCAGTAAGATCTGCAGGACTCGCTCGAGTTTGGGCGTCGCGCAGTATCGCTTGTCTTTGGCGTGGAGTCTGAAAGCAGAAACCGCACATTAATAACCATCCCTCAGAAACTCATTCAATAACTCATATCATCAATAACTCACACGAGCGCGTCGATGGCGCAGACGCCGTGGCTCGTCTGCACCTCATATTTAGTCACTTTCAGCAGAATCTCAAGCGGAAACTTCTTAGTCGTTTCAACGCAACATTTGGGTGTGACGCCTGAAAATCAAAACCAAAAACAAACCACCTCTGATAACATTCACAACAGAAATACAACTAAAAGATCAATTCTCAGTGTAAAAAAAACTAAAATTAATAAA